AGAAGAAACAGGTGGTTAATTCAAGCTACATACTGTTTTTGAATAAATGCATGAAACAAAGAAAGGTGCTGCTAACAGCTATAATAGATATATTAATAATAATAAACTGATCAAATAAGAAAATGAAAAATAAATTGATTTAAAAATAATGAAAATGATATAATAATAATAATAATGGATATATGAATCAGAAAGTTTTATACAGATACAGATATTTTTTATCGTCATTCGCACCTCATGTGGTCCATGTGGTGGATCAAAATTATGTTCACAGGGTCCCAGTTACATCCAACAATAAAATATAAAATAAAAACAGTAATAAGATCTAAGATATGAACTAATAAAAACATCAACTAAAAATATGATGAGCTCTAGTAGAATAAAAACATTAAACACAATACGTGAACAGACGAGCACGAATAAACACAGCAACATGAAACAGATCAGCAGCAACATGAAACAGATCAGCAGCAACATGAAACAGATCAGCAGCAACATGAAACTGATCAGCAGCAACATGAAGCAGATCAGCAACAGCATGAAGCAGATCAGCAGCAACATGAAACTGATCAGCAGCAACATGATGTGATTCTTCACAGTGTTATATATTCATAAGGCTGCACAAACTCAAGTTCATGTTGCTGTTTGACGTATTGTTTTGATTGTTTACTGCTATTAGTGCTTAGTGTTTTATTAGTAGATGTTTTTTAGTTGATATTTTTCTCAGTTCATATCTTAGATCTTATTACTGTTTTTATTTTACATTTTGTTGTCTGTAACTGGGACCCTGTGTACAAAGTACATAATTTCATCCCAATTCAGTATTTATTCAACATTTTAGTTTTTTACTTTAAAAATAAAATAAATCAAGTCCTTATCGGCACAAATAAAGTGATGTGGAACAGTTGCATCTGTTCTTACCGAGCACAGAAGCTGCAGCGTTGTGCTGCTCTGTGAGGTGCAGCTGGGCTGTGATGGAGCTCTGTCAGGTGTAGACTCCTCTGATGGAGCAGGAGCAGGAGCCGGGAGGCTTGGAGGGTTTAATGTGGAGTTTAGAGACGAACCGTCACGCACTGAAATATGTTCTGGATAAAATACAGTGAGAAACGGGACCGGAGGACAGTTAGCGTTTATGCAAATTAGCTTAGCATCGTAGCACCGACGTTGTCCTATTATGGCGTCAGCCTCTTTTGTTAGTTAAAAATATGTTCAGAACCGATGGGATGAGTAATTTAAAATATGTTTAAAGTTAGAAAACACTCACCATCTTCTGTAAATGATTCAAGTAGAGCAGTAGTCGTGTCTAAACCACCCTCCAATCCTCCATCTAGCTCGCTTTGACTTTTTTCGTCGGCCACCAAGCACAACAACACCTGCACTTCTGCATTTGACCACAGCTTTGATATTATTGTTTTTATAGCTTCAAAATACTAAAAGATACGCTCCTCGAGTTATCGCTAATGGCAAGCGGG